ACAAAAGGCATATGGGAGGGGGGGGGACGTGTGCGGGTGTGTACGACCCGTACACGAGCTGATAATGAGGAAGATAATTAGGTGAAAATTACCGCTAATTTATGCATATTTCATACACACACTCAGAGGTACGTGTCACGTATCCGGGCATGTGCAGAGATTTACGGGTGGCGTGTGCAGACGTGTGCAGGCCTGTACACGGCCCGGACACCTGAGTGGTTCATATCCGGGCCGTGTGCAGGCCTGCACACGCCAAGTGTACGGGTCGCGCACACCTGGAAATGTCCGTATATTTGGAATTTCCGGGCGTGTGTACGGGAGTATACGACCCGGATACGTCGGTTTTCGTCTAGTGTATGCAACATTGCGATGTATGCTGACGATACCATCATATATTTTGCACACCGGAGCATTTTGACCATAACACAGACAATCCAAAGTGACTCAGCTCGGCTTGTGCAGTGGTTTACTGCTAACAAACTGTCCCTAAATCCCACGAAATGTAAATCCATGCTTGTAGGGACACATAGGGCCAAGTCTGCAAGCCGTGACCTACATCTGACACTAGAAGGTACTAACCTAGATCAGGTAAATACCTTTAAGTACTTGGGAGTCTTCCTAGACAGAGCCTTACAGTGGAACGACCACATCTTACATGTAACTAAGAAGTTGTCTCAGGCTATTGGTATCATGAAGGGATTGAAACCATTTATCAATAGAGAAGCCTTAATGACAATATACACATCCCTTTTTCTCCCCCACTTAAACTACTGCAGTACTGTCTGGGATCAAGGTAGCAAGGGCGGCATCGATAAACTACAGAAACTACAGAACAGGGCGGGGAGGGTGATCCTGGGGTGCGATCACTACACACCTAGTGATACCATACTCCACAGACTTGGCTGGACCCCAGTGATTGAGATGCACAAGAGGAATAAAGCAGTGCTTGTTTACAAGGCCCTACACGACATGTCCCCTCCCCACATCTCAGGTCTGTTCACACAGCTAAGGGAGGTACACACACACAATACACGCCTTAGATCACAGGGTGGGCTACAACTGCCAAAAGCTCAACTTCAATATAAAAAGAAATCCCTCTCTTGTACTGGTGCCACATTATGGAACTCACTCCCACCTCAGTTAAAAAGAGCAGATTCTGTTTCTTCCTTTAAGCGCCTTTACAACCAGGAGTGTGTTGCCACATCATAACTTGTTATCAAACAGCATTGATATGCAAATTCCTTTGTTATATTCCTTTGTTATTTCCTTGATTTGTTTTTGTATTATTGCCTTAATTACTATGAGTTGTGGATCTTGGTTTGACAAGTTTGTTTTATTACCACCTTACTGAGTTGCGGCATTATATAGTACTTTTACTTTTATTTGTACTAAGTTGACTTTAATTTGTACTTATAAGTTGACTTATCATTTTGTTATATCTGTTATTTTCTTGTATATTTTATTTATGTATGCCTGCAGGGCACATTGAAAAACGCCTTAGTGGCGATATGTACACCCTGGGTAAACAAATAAAAACAAAACAAACAAACAAACACCATACCCATTACCGCATCTGCAGTACAAACCACATCAGTACCCAAAATTCACGTTGATCTTCTTTAATTGTCCCAACCTACATACCAAATATAAAGATACATGAACCACACCCAAGTTATAACTGATTAAAAATCAGCAACCCCTACATATGAAGTAGCTAAACACATAACCTTCTGGTAACAAAATGGCTGCAAAGATCTGTAAGGTATTTGGGGAAATGTGCTTTCCTCGTTATCCGATTTACTCCATCGAAAACCCTACTTTTTTTGGGGGGGAGGGTCCACTGGCAAGGGACATTCACGATTTTTTATCTGACATCTAATTGGTGAAAAGCGTAGAATCGTTATCCAACTTGAACTCATTACTTCTGTTGCAATAAGGAAATTTAGTGATGTGAGAAAAACATTGTCCTTATTGTTAATGTTGTGCAGATTCTTGTTATTGTACAATGCATATATGTATGGTTGAAATATGGTTCTGAAAATACCGGTCTCTTGATGCATTTAGTCTGGGTTTTACAACGTTAAACTGCGGTGTCTAAACTACCAACTTATCCTATTGTTTAGAACTTCAAAATCTGAAACACAACCCTAGTTAGTTTGCCAATGTTAGTTTGCCAATGGTAATTACTTACACTTCCTGAATGCCCTCGTTTAGTGGTGTCCTAAGCATAACCTGTGTTAATCAATTCAAGTGGGGAGGTCGGCACTTAAATCATTCCTGTCGTGTAAGATACATTGTCACCATCATGTTTTTGCATCGAACTTTTTTGTAGACCCTGAACACGTGTCTATCAGAGAATTCATGGTTCAAATCGCGGCGGAACACTATTGGAGTGAGTCGAAGGTGGATGAGACAATTCGGAAGCTGGAAGATGAAGAAATATATAACGTTGCTGGCCTGAAGCAGTTCTGGGACGAAGTGAAGCCAACGATGAGCCTTGGAATGAGATCTGTCTTTCAGAGTGTCCTGTTTCCTAAGTAAAATCGCACACTAGTATGATACTATGACGCTATGCACCAGTACTCATCTAAACAATACATACATAGTTCTAGTCCAAATGAGGACAGAAAAACGTGGCGGACGTGTCCTCCCCAGAAAAAAAAACGTATTGTGGGCCCTGCTTTAGACTAAATGATTAGTAAGCTCAGACACTGTTAAATAATTCAACAAATTATACATATTCTGGATTTCGCAAATTCTGTGGTATGTTGGATGTCATAGATGTTTCATTTTTTTGCGGTTGTTGTGTTTATGGAAATATGATGATATGAAATAATTGCAGTATGTACAAGTTCTACATATAGTATACGCCCAGTTCACTTTTTCACATGACCACAAAAGATAATTGTCAGTTGAACACACATTTCAGCAATGTTAGACAAAATCTTAACAACGTCCTTGAATTATTTATGTTGAATAGGATATTATGTGCTGCCTTAATTTTGTCCTATATTGTGCTTTGAATAGAATTAAGACTGTAATCCTACTAATTATCCGAGGTTCTGTCATGAATTTTTCATAACGTTGATGGTGTAATCGACCTGAAACAATGCTGTAAAATTAACATTGTCCTGGTGCACTTGACGTTCACATTGTCAATTTGTTTTGTGTATGAAAAATGGGTATTAATAACCTGAAAGAAAGTTGAAAACAATTGCCTTTGGTCATTTTTGTATCTTCGTATTATGTGTCTTCATTAGACCTATCTCCCGGCTCAAAGAAAAAAAATGTCCAAAATGGGGGTATTATATTGTGTTGCTAGGCCAGGAAAGTCGACCTATATGCAACGTTGCATAGTATTACGTTCCTACAGCTATCTTGCCATCTCATGGCTAGAAAGCTCCTCTAAAGTTTTACTATATCAGCCCATAGAAAGCTATGATGATCTATTAACCACAAACCCAAAATGGTTACAGAAACAATAGGGTTAAACGTATGGAGGTACGACGTAACAAATCATTGATGAAGTGGGGACTCTATTAACAGCAGATAAAGAAATATAAACTCCTCGGATACGATATATTCTGTCCGAACGCAGAGTCGTCACATTTGAGCCAACAGAGGACGACACTCGGCCCCGCTGCACTTTGCCCTTTCAAGCCTTTAGTAGTAAACAAAAGCAGACATAATGGGTTCGGGCGAAAAACATACACATTAGAAAGATTGACGCCTGGATTGTCTACGGAACAATACTTGCATGTACATGAATGTGGGAATTAAATATTTCCTGGATAGTCTAATTGTCTATGTATTTGTATATATAAGTCTTGGTGCCTAGTATTTACTGGATTAACTACCCTGCTATTAAGAATGATTTGCCAGTCAAACTACCGATTGTCTAAAAAACACGTGACCTGCCTATCACATGGCCACGTACATGCAGCCTAAGGGTCACTTTACTGTTGTGTTTGATCACGAAAGCCAGTCCGCCATGGACGTGTTACTTATCAACTGCGACAATACCTACTCGCTAGATCCTGTGGAGGAGTTGGTCAAACTTGCTAATCCAAATATTCGGGTCGACAGACAATATTGTAACGTGTCAGAGTTACAGGCGGTGAGTGAGGAAGTCAGGCGGCGGCAGCAGCTCCTGTGCGGGGTGTTTGTAGTGAACGCCTACGAGTCACGTCTGAGTATTAACGAGGAAAACGCCGGGATCGGATATGCTGTGTTGTACAATGCATTACTGGAGGCAGCTAAAGGTAAAGTTCAACCAAAATCGTCAGTTGCAGTTGCATAAATTTATTCAAACATGGCTCAATTTATTGACTAAATCTATTATGTGAAATAATTTATCGAGAAGGCTAGTAACGGTCATTTGTCCAGAACAAATATACGGGCTTGTATACGGGTTCCTATATTATACAGTATTGTTAAGAATTTAAAATCTTTTGCATTTGGCGATAGGCTAAATGGGCCAGTAATAGTTATCATCATATTATCCATTTAGTATATACATTTTTTTACTTGTTTGCTTTCAAATGTCAAGTAGAGTAGTTGGTCATTGCAATGTCAAATAGAGAAAATCGTTTTATTCTTATATGTAGCTGGTAGATGCTTTTCAAGTTACGACTGTATTTTTGTTCATCAAAACTAAACATGAAGTGAGATTTTTAACCTAGATCTCTTAGATTTCTTATATAATATATGTAAGAAAATGTCTTGAATAATCACCTCTTTAAGCGAGGTTTAGTTGTGTCGAAATGTGCAACAGAACAAAATCATCCAAAGCATTAAGATTTTCGGTGTGAATTCTATAATGGATTTTTCTTGTTGTAGGACGAGTGGTTGTTGTGATCGGCGGAGATGACAGGTACAAGGAAGGAGAGCAGGACTCCAGCGTCCTGTCCACCTGGGCCTACCACAAGATCGCCGCACAGTTTGACGACTCGTACCTGGACGGCAGGCGAGGCTTCGTGTTCTCCTGGGACGAGCGGCACAACCCGGTTCACGAGGAGGCTCTCGGACGGTACTTTGTGGCTATCTCGTTAAAGCAATGTGGCCTAGAGGAGCCCTTCAAGCCGAAGGTCCCTTTGAAATCGGAAAAAACATTGGCGACTACCCAAAGCACAGAATTTAATGTCCCAGAAAAGCAAGCTCCAACGCACAGAATGGTACATGACAATACGGGAAAACCCGGAACGGTAGATGGAAATTCCTCTGAAAATCAGGGCAAATGTGATGAATCGGTCGATTACGGCACACATGATGTACAAGATGATTTGGTCGATTACGGCACACATGATGTACAAGATGACTCAGTTCAGGGTGCATCAAATCAATTTGGCCCAACGATCAACAATCCAAGGCAAACAAACCCAGTGTTACGGTATGGAAAAAGCAAGAAACCCGTGCCGGAACAGGGTGCTTGTCAAAGTAAGACACCCACCTTAGGTATCCCTAACTTAGTCGAAGGAAAAGAGGAGAATGTAGCAATGTATGTAAAGAATAAAATAGAAAAAGAGACCAAACAGAGAATAGTAAAAGTTATTGAGATCTATGTTAATAAAATCTTGAAGAATCGGTATGATTACACGGAAGGGGGTGAGTTCCTTATCCCAGATTACTTCCGAAAACATATCGATGGTAAAAAGGAAGAAGAAAAGGTTCTAGTTGCTGTTATTATTGATGACGGTGCTCAGAAACGTCCACCAAAAGAAGATCTAGGATTAAAAATTCTCAGTCTGGATGAGCTTAAGAAAGATCTTCCTCCTTACTTTTGGCAAGGAGGATGCACTCGTACGACACACTGGTACGATGATATCAGGCCAATCAGGTTCATTTGTAAACGACTAAGTGATGATGGTTTATGAGGTGGTTAACACTAACGTCATTATTATAACACCAACAGACAGATCAAATCAATCCAGTATCTGCATGAATGGAAGGAGATTATTCTCGCGATATTTAAACATATTTGTGATAACATTATGTATAGAATGATGTTGCAACGGCAATGCTAACAATGCGCATAGACAGTGAAAAAATTAAACCAGATTTTGTTTAAGTTAGAGAAGATAGCTAATGCATCTACGTTGATTCACATTTTAACCTGCATGAGTAGCCGAACAACTTCTTTGTCTACTTGGCAAATTACATGCCAACAAGACAATCATATTGTCACATTGTAACTTATTGTGACCTGTTAACTGCATATGTTCATCATGTTTTTTTCTTACCTTTTTTAACCCAGTGTGGCAAAAATTTCAAATAGAATGCAATAAAAGTTTTTCATTAAGAGCACTGTGGATGTCCAACATTATTCTGATCATAGTAGACATTAGTTGACTGTTACCAGGTCGGCGTGTTTTTTCATAATTTACGGTTAACGGTATTGTTTGTCATGGTTGTATGTCTTGGAGGCCCTAAAATTGTATCTACAATAGACTTCAAACATGTAAATGGGGAAATATGTTTTCAGTAGACACAGAACATTCATTTTGTCAGCTCACTTACATTCCAGATCAGATGATAACGCCCCTTTGTTCCAAATTTGTGCGGAAAAACAATTAACTACATGTTTGTTTTGTGAGTTACAAAGCTGAATCGGTTCACCGCCTGTCTGTTTGTTTGTTTGTTGTTTTGACGTAGTGATGCATTTGACGTGCGCACTAATACCACAGCAGTTGTGAGGCGAGACTTGGCGAGCTACACTTCTGCTCAGCTTCAGTCTAGTTGTAGTACAATTACCAACATGGAGGTTTTAATAGTGAACTGTCACGGCACCTATTCATAATAGTCTCGGTCGTGCCTTTGTTCCAAAGTGTCACGAAAGGCCAAGAAGTAGTAACACAGCCATATATACTGCCACTGTCCCAGTTACAGGCGGTGAGTGAGGAAGTCGGGCGGCGGCAGCTCCTGTGTGGGGTGTTTGTAGTGAACGCCTACGAGTCGTGTCTAAATGTTCACGAGGAAACAGCCGGGTTTAGATATGCTGTGTTGTTCGGGGCACTACTGGAGGCGGTGCGAGGTATGCTTTTTAACGTCACTACGATAATTATTAGACATGGCATTGAAGTAAAGGGCAGTTTTTTTAACAAGTGCGGCAGAAACTTTCAATAAAAGTCATTTATGTAGAGCATTAACACTGTGAATGTCCATCATTATTCTGATCATAGTAGACGACAGTTATCAGGGCGGAGTGTGAGATATTAGCATAGTTCACGGTTTAACGCATTCTTCACCAGAGTAGTATGCCTGGAAAGCCCTTAAATTGGACATGTAAATGGAAAAATATGTTTTCGGAAGACACAAAAGATTGTTAGCTTACTCACATTACAGGGGATAAAGCCCCTTGTGGGCCTCACTGGCGTGTGCATACAATTAATGTTTTGTCAGTCACAAAGTTGCCCCAGGTCACCGCCTTTACTTTTATTCAAGTTTATTGACGCAATGACGTGTTGAACATGCGCACTACCGACACAGCAGTTGTAAGGCTAGACTTGGCCAGCTACACTTCTGCTAAGCTGCAGTCTGTGTGTAATACAATTACCAACATGGACAATGAGGTTTTAATAGTGAACTGCGACGGCACATATCCTTTATATTCGGTCGTATCTTTGTTTCAAAGTGTCACGAAAGGCCAAGGAGTAGTCACACAGCCACTTATCCTGCAACTGTCCCAGTTACAGGCGTTTAGTGAGGAAGTCAGGCGGCAGCAGCTCCTGTGCGGGGTGTTTGTAGTGAACGCCTACGAGTCGTGTCTAAATTTTCACGAGGAAACAGCCGGGTTTGGATATGCTGTGTTGTACAGGGAACTACTGGAGGCGGCGCAAGGTATTTTTTTAACATCATCACAAAAACTAATAGACAGGGCAGTGAAGTAATTTCATAGCAAATAGAAACAATCTCTAATTGAAAACGATCGATGTGCAAAATATTTCCATTGTATGCAGAGATCATGCAAACGGTTGTTAAACGTCTAGCAACATTGTTTTTTGAGGTAAAATATATGAAGGGCAGTTTTGAGAGCAAAGTTTCCGCAAATATACTTCCTGCTGGGCCAAGTAAATGTGTCAGTGTTGTACGTAGTTTATCTATACACTTTATGTATTCATTACCGTTGTCCAATTAATACGAAAAAAATTCAAAAATTTTATTCGTCTTTTTATTGGTATGTACAATTAGAGAATCGAAGCATTATTAAATGCCATACGTCGATCCATCTAACAGGTTGACCTCGAACTATGTAGTAGATGTGAACAACTTAAACACTTATTTGTTGGAAAAAAACGGTGAAAAGGAACTAAGTGTAAGAATATAGATGGCAAAGATATATCGTATTTTTTAAAACGATAAAGATAAAAATTCCAGACTGAGCCTGCTTATTGTTTTAGGACGAGTCGTTGTTGTGATCGGCGGAGATGACAGGTACAAGGACGGAGAGCAGGACAACAGCGTCCTGTCCACCTGGGCCTACCACAAGATCGCCGCACAGTTTGACGACTCGTACCTGGACGGCAGGCGGGGCTTCGTCTTCTCTTGGGACGAGCGGCACAACCCGGTTCACGAGGAGGCTCTCGGAAGGTACTTTGTGGCTATCTCGTCAAACCAATGCGGCCTAAAGGAGCCCTTCAAGCCGAAGGTCCCTTTGAAATCGGAAAAAACATTGGCGACTACCCAAAGCACAGAATTTAATGTCCCAGAAAAGCAAGCTCCAACGCACAGAATGGTACATGACAATACGGGAAAAACCGGAACGGTAGATGGAAATTCCTCTGAAAATCAGGGCAAATGTGATGAATCGGTCGATTACGGCACACATGATGTACAAGATGAATCGGTCGATCACGGCACACATGTTGTACAAGATGACTCAGTTCAGGGTGCATCAAATCGATTCGGCCCAACGATCAACAATCCAAGACAAACAAACCCAGTGTTACGGGATGGAAAAAGCAAGAAACCCATGCCGGAAGAGGGTGCTTGTCAAAGTAAGACCCCCACCTTAGGTATCCCTAACTTAGTCGAAGGAAAAGAGGAGAATGTAGCAATGTATGTAAAGAATAGAATAGAAAAAGAGACCAAACAGAGAATAGTAAAAGTTATTGAGATCTATGTTAATAAAATCTTGAAGAATCGGTATGATTACACGGAAGGGGGTGAGTTCCTTATCCCAGATTACTTCCGAAAACATATCGATGGTAAAAAGGAAGAAGAAAAGGTTCTAGTTGCTGTTATTATTGATGACGGTGCTCAGAAACGTCCACCAAAAGAAGATCTAGGATTAAGACTTCTCAGTCTGGATGAGCTTAAGAAAGATCTTCCTCCTTACTTTTGGCAAGGAGGATGCACTCGTACGACACACTGGTACAATAATATAAGGCCAATCAGCTTCATTCGTAAACGAGTAAGTGATGTTTTATGGGGTGGTTACACGGAATGACATTAACGTCATTATTATAGCACCAACAGACAGGTCAAATCAATTCAATATCTGGATGAATGCAAGGAGATTATTCTCGCGATATTTAAACATATTTGTAATAGCATTATGTATAGAATGATGTTGCAACGGTAATGCTAACAATGCGCATAGACAGTGGAAAAAAATTGAACCAGATTGTGTTAAAGTTAGAGAAGAGAGCTAATGCATCTACGTTGATTCACATTTTAACCTGCATGAGTAGCCGAACAACTTCTTTGTCTACTTGGCAAATTACATGCCAACAAGACAACCATATGTCACATTGTAAGTTATTGTGACCTGTTAACTGCATATGTTCATCATGTTTTGTTCGTAACTTTTTTTTAACCCAGTGTGGCAAAAATTTCAAATAAAATGCAATAAAGGTTTTTCATTAAGAGCACTGTGGATGTCCAACATTATTCTGATCATAGTAGACATTAGTTGACTGTTACCAGGTCGGCGTGTTTTTTTTATAATTTACCGTTAACGGTATTGTTTGATATGGTTGTATGTCTGGGAGGCCCTAAAATTGTATCTACAATAGACTTCAAACATGTAAATGGGGAAATATGTTTTCAGTAGACACAGAACATTCATTTTGTCAGCTCACTTACATTCCAGATCAGATGATAACGCCCCTTTGTTCCAAATTTGTGCGGAAAAACAATTAACTACATGTTTGTTTTGTGAGTTACAAAGCTGAATCGGTTCACCGCCTGTTTGTTTGTTTGTTTGTTTGTTGTTTTGACGTAGTGATGCATTTAACGTGCGCACTAATACCACAGCGGTTGTGAGGCGAGACTTGGAGAGCAACACTTCTGCTCAGCTTCAGTCTAGTTGTAGTAAAATTACCAACATGGAGGTTTTAAGAGTCATTGCACGAGAAAACCAGGCAAAACCAGGCAGAGGTCGGAAGATGGGGGTCGGCCAAATCGGCTCATACTTTGTATGTGAGATTGGTATGAGGAACTATTAACCGCCATATAGTTAAAACCCTCCAGCTATTTTTCGTTATGGTGTTCTGGGACCCCCCTCTGAGACCCTCAAAAATCTAACAATTTATGGCTGAAAATTACTGAAATTACAATGACACCATGGTAATTCTGATAATGATATGAACATGGGATTTCTTTTGTCACATAGCATTGGTCTTCTACTTTTACAAAACAAAATTGAAGATGCAACATTGAAGTTAAAAGGGTATACCAGGGGGTTACCAGAACCAATGAAAACAGAATTTTCATCTTTCTAAATTTTAGTCATTTTTAAGTAGCTTTTTCTCCGTGACGCGGCAAATTTGATAAACGGTTTTACCGTTGCTGGAAAGAGGAACATCTGCTGATTCGAAACCAAGTGTCGTTTAATTGGGCCACGCATAACGCGGGCCGTGAACGAAGGGTCTTTATGGGGGTTTTCCGGGTTTTGGACCATAATAAATTAGCTAACAACGTCTCTTTACGGGGTAAATCATGGGCATTTTTTGTGCAGCTGCATGGGATCAATGAACAATTGTTGAAAAATGCTAAAAATAATTAGAAATATTCGTTGGGGCTCCACATGGGGGATACAAGGATACCTAAAAAGCAAATTTAAACTGATTTTACACAATTTATCACATTTTATTTCTAATTTCCATTAGTAAATATCTTTCAAAATTAATTTTGTGCATTCACTTTGTGCTAAATAATATGGAGGCTATGTATGGGGGTTATCACAACACCATGTGTGAAACTATAATAATAATAATTGTTTATTGATTGATCGAAGATAAAAGAGTACAATCGCTAGCATGTTGCAGCGCAACTGATAAGTAGTGCTGAATTATATGCTAGTTTAAAAACAAAGAAACAAATATTGGAAACAACTAGCTACCATATACACATTTAGGATCGCTGTATAAGTCAGCAGTAGGTCGGAAGATAGGAAGGTCTTTGAAATCCACTCATACTCAAGAGGGGCGTTCTTCCCACAGTGGCTTTCTGAATAGTGAAAAGTTTAGCATTTTCTATTTAGAACGTCTTTTCAGCTTGTACAATTTGCTATTTATGAAATTATCATGAAATGAAATGCTTCTTACTTGGATTGTTTAGAAAACATCTCAAATGAACTGAGCTTATCGTAGAGTGGCGTCGGGTTGTGTAGTGGTTAGAGCAATCGACTGTGAACCGGGAGACCCGGGTTCGATTCCGAGTCGTACCCGGGACACGTCTGAACATGCGCCCCGTCGTTGTGCCCTTGGGAAAGGCACTTTACACGAATTTCCTCACTCCACCCAGGTGTGAATGGGTACCTAACTTCGGTTGGGGAAAGTCGTATTGAGGTCACCTTGTGGCGCCGAATGGCAGCCGCACAGACCCTTGCGACAGTTCCACAAAAATGATTGTGGAACAAATATGTGTATTATTTGATTGTTGTAATTGTTGTGATTTGTATTGATTATTATGTGATACCCTGCACCGATTCAGCCGTATAAAGGCTATAAAGGGTACTGTTTGGACAATAAAAACCATTTATTTAAATGCCGCTAAGACCATATGATACCAAGGTGATTACCAAAGGCTGGAAAATAACAGCACTGAAAGTATACATTCAATGTAGTCTGGAGGTTGGTTTTAATCATATACTATTATATTATGATTGAGAATTTTAGTTTGTACGGCGTTCCAAAAGTGCATTTGTTGGAGACGCTCCTGCAAGCTTCGCAATCGTGACAATCTTCCGCCTCGGGCATCTCTTTTTACAGAACTTATGTTTGCAAAAATAAAACACAAAAATGCAAAAAGTCTGCCAGGGCTGGTTTGTACTGACTTGTCTGGGGTGCAGGAGCATGAAAATTTGGAATGTATCAGGAGAACTGTGCATATTTATTGTAAACGTCATTGGCCAAATATTGATTTAAATATTCTAACTGCTAATCATCTAAGTGATACAAAGTCAATCAAATTCATTTCATACTTAATTCTTACATCTTTAAAACATATGATATAATTATACATCTGTGATCTATAATAAGTTAGTTCTAGAGTTAATAATAATTTACTTACTAGATGTAACATATTAATACTAACTAATATCCTTCGATTCAAGCAAAGACACTCATACACCAAAAGAAGGTACAGGTTGAGCTGTCCTAGATATTAGTACAACTTTGTTTTTCGTTCTCATTTGCCAAAGTCTCAAAAGTACACATGTGGAAAACTAAAGCAAATGTCTACATGTCAACGTGCGCACAATGGTCTGTAGATCTAGAGAAAATGGTCTATTTTCAAAATAGGACCAGTGCTATAAGGAAATGAAAGTGTTTTGCTATCTGCTTTTAAATTGTTTTCAACCTTTTAGTTTTAGCACATTACATCATGAAATGAGACTTTTCATCTCTCTTAATTTTAGTTCCCCAGAAACAGGAACGCTATCCTTGCAGGGTAGAAGACATATTTCAGTTCATTCAGAAACAAGTCTGGTCTAATTACTGGACCACAAATCACACATTAATGGGCCATGAGTCTATTAGATCATACAAATCGATCATAAAATGTCGCAGTGAAGGGCAATATATGGGTGTTTTTGTGTAGTTGGAGGAAAACCATGCATGCATAGATTTGTGGTCAAAAATTATGCCAGTTTAAGGGGGCTCTGCATGGGGGGGCATAAGGATACTTGAAAAATTGAATTAATCCAATGCTTGCATAATGACAATATCCAGTAATTTAGGCCTGAATTGTCATAAATATATCAAGGAATAGTCGATGATGGTACAGTCAATGATGGAGATACTTTTCTCATTTGAATTGATTGACATTATATTGTAATGCGATTCTTACTGGTCTGGTATTTTTATTTGGTAAAATTTATTGCTGTTTTGTTTTTAGATGACGGATTTTTTATGAATTGGTTTCCTTACTTATACGCTGAGTAGAACCAGATGTTCCTGTATATGTAAATGCTAACTAGTTCATTTAATCCAATAATGAAAGCCTGAGTATATTTGGCAAACCTGTATTTTCAGTGGCCTTTATTAGTTGAATTTGACTGTTTTTACTGTTATATTTAGCTTAAACGCATCATATTCTTAGTCCTATTGCTAGATTGTCCATTTGGAGTATCTACGTGTATGCACCCATGTGGCTTGTGTTTTTTTTTGGTAGCTGGTTTCACACATGGTGTTCTGATAAACCCCATACATAGCCTCCATATTATTTAGCACAAAGTGAATGCACAAAATTAATTTTGAAAGATATTTACTAATGGAAATTAGAAATAAAATGTGATAAATTGTGTAAAATCAGTTTAAATTTGCTTTTTAGGTATCCTTGTATCCCCCATGTGGAGCCCCAACGAATATTTCTAATTATTTTTAGCATTTTTCAACAATTGTTCATTGATCCCATGCAGCTGCACAAAAAATGCCCATGATTTACCACGTAAAGAGACGTTGTTAGCTAATTTATTATGGTCCAAAACCCGGAAACCCCCATAAAGACCCTTCGTTCACGGCCCGCGTTATGGGTGGCCCAATTAAACGACACTTGTTTTTGAATCAGCAGATGTTCCTCTTTCCAGCAACGGTAAAACCGTTTATCAAATTTGCCGCGTCACGGAGAAAAAGCTACTTGAAAATGACTAAAATTTAGAAAGATGAAAATTCTGTTTTCATTGGTTCTGGTAACCCCCTGGTATACCCTTTTAACTTCAATGTTGCATCTTCAATTTTTGTTTTGTAAAAGTAGAAGACCCATGCTATGTGACAAAAGAAACTCCATGTTCATATCATTATCAGAATTACCGTGGTGTCCATTGTAATTTCAGTGATTTTCAGCCATAAATTGTTAGATTTTTGAGGGTCTCAGAGGGGGGTCCCAGAACTCCATAACGAAAAATACCTGGAGGGTTTTAACTATATGGCGGTTAATAGTTCCTCATACCTATCTCACATACAAAGTATGAGCCGATTTGGCCGACCCCCATCTTCCGGCCTCTGCCTGGTTTTCTCGTGCAATGACTCTTAATAGTGAACTGTGACGGCACCTATTCTTTAGCCTCGTTCGTGTCTTTGTTCCAAAGTGTCACGAAAGGCCAAGAAGTAGTAATTATAACACAGCCATATATCCTGCAACTGTCCCAGTTCAGTTACAGGCGGTGAGTGAGGAAGTCAGGCGGCGGCAGCTCTTGTGCGGGGTGCTTGTATTAAACGCGTATGAGTCATGTCTAAATTTTTACGAGGAAACAGCCGGGTTTGGATATGCTGTGTTGTACGGGGCACTACTGGTGGCAGCGAAAGGTAAAGTTTCAACAAAATTGTCAGTTAAGCGAGTTCCATACATGCATTCAACAAGAGGCTAATTTAGGGACCTATTAGTAAGTAAAATGTTTTGCGTGAAATAATTTATCAAGAAGGCTAGTAACGTCCATTTGTCCCGAACAAATTTACAGTCTTGTATACGGATTCCTATATTATACAGTATTATTTAGACTTTCAAACATCTTGCTTTCGACGAAAGGCTACATGAGCTAGTGATAGATATCCCCATATTATCCATTTAGTATATATATATTTTTTCCATCCATAGGTCAAGTGAATTATTCGGTCATTGCAATGAGCAATCGAAGAAATATTTTATTCTTATTAATTGTAGCTGGTAGAAACTTTTCAAGTTACGACTATAGCGATTCATTTTTATCCGTCTACAATTGTTGTTATTTACCCTAAAACTGAAAACTGACCCAGCATGCTCTGATCTGGCCTGGAGGTCATTAATTTGCTTAAGACTGTCAAGATATGACCTGCTTGACCAGACATATGTCTAATGCGATTCTTTAGGGCAATTAGAAATGAATATGGATTGGTCAGTTATCACATGACACTATTCTAGTCCCCAGACTCTCCCAGTCTCTCCCAGAAGGAGGATGACCATATTGGTGAGAATTAGTCAGGACAGGTCACATGAATATATCCGCCACAGTTGTGAGTGATATCCTCACAGTCTTCCCCTCATTTGCATGAAATAGCTTCACATATTTTTGACAGTCTCACACTATGTGGAGACAGTAAATAAACAGCTTTCATCGGGTGAGGGAAAGCTGCCATGGGCTAATCAACAATGTTCCAATCTCATTAAAACGTATGAGAAGTTATGACGTATATACAAACTTATAAAGGGAAATTTGTTTTCGACGAGAAATGTCAAAATGGCACATATTCACATACGCCAGTTTTGACGCCACACGGTGGTTTGAGGGTTAAAGTACATGTATTCTTCAACAGAATAGTATGTCTGGGAGGACCTAAAATTGAATGAGACTTTAAACATGGAAATGGAGAAATGTGTTTTCGGTTGACATGATACAACATCGTTAGCTCACTCACATGCCAGAGGAAAATGCCCTTTGTGGGCCTCACTGGCGTGGGCATACAATTTTGTACATATCTGTTTTGTAAGTCAAAAAGTTGCCCCAGGTCGCCGCCTTTATTGACGTGGTGACGCGTTGTCATGCGCGCTACCGACACATCAGTTGTAAGGCTAGACTTGGCCAGCTACACTTCTGCTAAGCTTCAGTCTGCGAGGAGTACAATTGCCAACATGGCCAATGAGGTTTTAATAGTTAACTGCGACGGCACATATCCTTTAGATTCGGTCGTATCTTTGTTCCAAAGTGTCACGAAAGGCAAAGAAGTAGTCACACATCCACTTATCCTGCAACTGTCCCAGTTACAGGCGGTGAGTGAGAAAGTCAGGCGGCGGCAGCTCCTGTGCGGGGTGTTTGTAGTGAACGCCTACGAGTCACGTCTGAGTATTAACGAGGAAAACGCCGGGATAGGGTATGCTGTGTTGTACAGGGCTTTACTTGAGGCAGCACAAGGTATACCTTTTAACATTACTACGAAAATATATGAAGAAGGGCAGGACATTTTAGAACAAATGTACGTCTTGTCGTAAGTTTTCAAATATAACTACATGAGTCAATTACCCAATTAACCATAGAATTGCCCCTACACCTATTTCCAGTTTCATTGATAACTTTGTTGGACCTTGCTTTCTAATCTTTAATTACACAATGTCTCTAAACTTTAAGTGTGCATGACATGACAATTGGAAAAAACACTTCTGTGTACAAGAAACCACACCAGTGATACCTACGCTTATACGTTCAGTATAGATCTAAAACAATGCCCTTCTTCCTACGCGAGTCTTGCAGCGAACAGGTGACCTTTTTTTACCCTGGTTGCCAATAGTTTTAGCCAATAACGGGCTGGTCGGTTAAACCAATGCTCTGTCCAGTGGGTGTTTAACGCACCCTGACCTGTCACACACTACCTCAACTTACTACACCTAGGGTGTATCATAACCTGTAATTATTACTATGTATACAGTACAATGATAGTAAATAATTTCTATTACAAGTATGAGGGTAAGTGGGACTGACCACTGGTTTTCTGTTACAATGTTGGTAGCCCCGGGACAAGCATGTGATCTCAGTTTTACTCTTCTGCTCCTAATACACCTTTTAAAAGGAGAATTTAAACAGTAAGACGGAAGGTTTCAAGTATTAGAATATGGACGACAACCTTCTAACCTTTTCTCTAAAACAATAACAGTTGATAAAAATTATAGACTCAGATTCTAATAAAGCCTGTTTATTTATGTAGGACGAGTGGTTGTTGTAATCGGCGGAGATGACAGGTACAAGGACGGAGAGCAGGACAACAGCGTCCTGTCCACCTGGGCCTTTCACAAGATCGCCGCACAGTTTGACGACTCGTACCTGGACGGCAGGCGGGGCTTCGTTTTCTCTTGGGACGAGCGGCACAACCCGGTTCACGAGGAGGCTCTCGGACAGTACCTTGTGGCCATCTCGTCAAACAAATGTGGCCTAGAGGAGCCCTTTAAGCCAAACCCAAAGGTCCCTTCAAGTCTTATACCACCATTAAAGCCAGGCATTCCTCTGAGCACGTCCACTGACCTAACAGACAATAGCCTGCTGGACGAAGCTCAAACAGGTCCTTATACACCATATACTATAGATCACTTTAATGACCATGAAACTGGGCGAATCATAGAGGAACTTGCGAAATGCAAGAAGAAGGTGCAAGAAGAAGAACCGGACAGGACAATAAGATTTGTTGCCTACCGTGTGTACGGCAAACTAGTGCCAGGATTCGGAACATTCTTTGGTGACTTTCCAGATGACCTTCCAAAGTACATGATACCTGAAATCAGACACGCAGACAACACACAGATTGCTGGTGTTATTGTCTATGACGAAGGGTCAAAAAAGACTTTAAGTCTGCAGGTTTTTGACTTATTTGAAAATGAAGGAGGATTCCTCGATGCTGCAAAAGATAAACTGAGTCGTTTTGCACAGTTTTGTGGCTGGATACAAAGGAAATAAAACCACTTTTTAATTAAATAACTTTCATGAACTCAGATATGATTCATGTAGTGCAAGATACACACATTTTGTTTTGTTTATACCTTGAAAATACAGGCAACAGACCTGTTATATAGGTATCCCGAAAATTAGATAGAAATACCCCACGTAGACCCATGTTTTTGAGAATACAGTAAGTATATCTTTTTTTCAGTAAAGAGACCTTTCTTTACACAACCAAGTCTTTTATTTAGCCGACGTTTCAAAGACCGTCTGTCACCTTCCTCATGGCAATTCCTCAATTCTGACTGGTTCACATTGCATTGCAGCACAGGTGTCACTTCTACAGATGCATTCCTTAGTGTACAATATTTACAATCTGAACCAATCAGAATTGCCCTGAGGAAGGTGACAGGCGGTAACCGAAACGTCGGCTGAATAAAAGACTTGGCTGTGTAAAAAGAGTTTCTTTACTCAGTGTCTTACCAACCTGATGAAACTATTAACGGATATATCTTAGTTTGCTTTGTGCACGTGAGTTAGAAAATGACTATGGATCACCGCCTGTTTTACTGACACGGTGACGTGTTGAACGTTTGTAAGGCTAGACTTGGCGAGCTACACTTCTGCTAAGCTGCAGTCTGTGTGTAATACAATTACCAACATGGCCAATGAGGTTTTAATAGTGAACTGCGACAATGCATACCTGTTAGATTTGAAATTGGTCTTATCTTTGTTTGAACGTGTCACGGAAGGCCAAGAAGTAGTCAGGCAGGAATATATCCTGCAAGACTACCAGATGACCAGAAAACATGTGACCTGCCTATCACATGGCCACGTACATGTAACCTAGGGGGCACTTTACTGTTGTGTTTGATCACGAAAGCCAAGCAGTCCGCCATGGATGTTTTACTTATCAACTGCGACAAGACCTACCCGTTAGAGTCTGTGGAGGATTTGATCAAACTTGCTAATCCAAATATTCGGGTCGACAGACAATATTGTAACGTGTCAGAGTTACAGGATGTGAGTGAGGAAGTCAGGCGGCGGCAGCTCCTGTGCGGGGTGTTTGTAGTGAACGCGTATGAGTCATGTCTAAATTTTCACGAGGAAACAGACGGGTTTCGATATGCTGTGTTGTACGGGGCACTACTGGAGGCAGCGCGAGGTATGATTTTAACATCATCACGAAACTAAATACACAAAGTAGTGAAATCATTTTACCGTAAATAGAAAAATATATTGAGTGAAATAGAAATAAGAGTGAGGTGCAAATGATTTCTGTCTATTTTTATAGAAATCATGCAATGGGTTTTTTACGGAAAATATGTAAATGGAAGTTTTAAGAGCAAATCCAAGGCTTTTCGTAACTTTCCGCAAATATACTTAGTCAACAAACCAATCAAACAAAGGTCGTTCGGTTCCCACTGGGCCATGTAAATTTGCTAGTGTTGTACATACATGTAGTGTTTTCAATACACTATAATTTCCATTCCCGTCATCGAATCGAGAACAAAAACCTTATTTTTTTTGTCTATTTCTCGGTATGTTATTGCATACAATCATGGAATCGAAGCTTTATGAAATGTCATACATTGAACAACCTGTGCACCTTGAGGTATGAAGAAGATTTTAACAACAAAACACCTCTAGCAGTAATAAAACAGTGAGAGGGAACGCTTCAATTAATAGAATAAAGATGACAACGTTCTAAGCTATTCTTAAAAAAAAAAATTGATAAAAATTCCAGACTCATATCGCTTTTCTAATAAAGCCTGTTTATTTCTGTAGGACGAGTGCTTGTTGTGATCGGCGGAGATGACAGGTACAAGGACGGAGAGCAGGACAACAGCGTCCTGTCCACCTGGGCCTACCACAAGATCGCCGCACAGTTTGACGACTCGTACCTGGACGGCAGGCGGGGCTTCGTTTTCTCTTGGGACGAGCAGCACAACCCGGTTCACGAGGAAGCTCTCGGACGGTACTTTGTGGCCATCTTGTCAGGACAATGTGGCCTAGAGGAGCCCTTTAAGCCAAACCCAAAGGTCCCTTCAAGTCTTATACCACCATTAAAGCCAGGCATTCCTCTGAGCACGTCCATTGACCTAACGGACAATAGCCTGCTGGACAAAACACAAACCGGTCCTTTTACACCATATACTATAGATCACTTTGATGACAATGAAACTGGGCGAATCATAGAGGAACTTGAGAAATGCAAGAAGAAAGTTCAAGAAGAAGACCCGGACAGGACAATAAGATTTGTTGCCTACCGTGTGAACGGCAAACTAGTGCCAGGATTCGGAACATTCTTTGGTGACTTTCCAGATGACCTTCCAAAGTACATGAAAGCTGAAATCAGACACGCAGACAACACACAGATTGCTGGTGTTATTGTCTATGACGAAGGGTCAAAAAAGACTTTAAGTCTGCAGGTTTTCGACTTATTTGAAAATGAAGGAGGATTCATTGATGCTGCAAAGGATAAACTGAGTCGTTTTGCACAGTTTTGTGGCTGGATACAAAGGAAATAAAACCACTTTTTAATTAAACTACTTTCATGAACTCAGATATGATTCATGTAGTGCAAGATACACACATTTTGTTTTGTTTATACCTTGAAAATACAGGCAACAGACCTGTTATATAGGTATTCCGAAAAATAGATAGAAATACCCCACGTAGACCCATGTGTTTGAGAATACAGTAAGTATATCTTTTTTTCAGTAAAGAGACATTTCTTTACACAACCAAGTCTTTTATTTAGCCGACGTTTCAAAGACCGTCTGTCACCTTCCTCAGGGCAATTCCTCAATTCTGACTGGTTCACATTGCATTGTAGCACAGGTGTCACTTCTACAGATGCATTCCCTAGTGTACAATATTTACAATCTGAACCAATCAGAATTGCCCTGAGGAAGGTGACAGGCGATAACCGAAACGTCGGACTTGGCTGCGTAAAAAGAGTCTATTTGCTCAGTGTCTTACCAACCTGATGAAACTATTCACGGATATATCATTGTTTTGTGCACGTGAGTTACATAATGACTATGGATCACCGCCTGTTTTACTGACACGGTGACGTGTTGAACGTTTGTAAGGCTAGACTTGGCGAGCTACACTTCTGCTAAGCTGCAGTCTGTGTTTAATACAATTACCAACATGGCCAATGAGGTTTTAATAGTGAACTGCGACAATGCATACCCGTTAGATTTGCAATTGGTCTTATCTTTGTTTGAACGTGTCACGAAAGGCCAAGAAGTAGTCAGGCAGGAATATATCCTGCAAGACTACCAGATGACCAGAAAACATGTGACCTGCCTATCACATGGCCACGTACATGTAACCTAGGGGGCACTTTACTGTTACGTTTGATCACGGTTGCCAAGCAGTCCGCCATGGACGTTTTACTTATCAACTGCGACAAGACCTACCCGTTAGAGTCTGTGGAGGAATTGATCAAACTTGCTAGTCCAAATATTCGGGTCGACAGACAATATTGTAACGTGTCAGAGTTACAGGATGTGAGTGAGGAAGTCAGGCGGCGGCAGCTCCTGTGCGGGGTGTTTGTAGTGAACGCGTATGAGTCATGTCTAAATTTTCACGAGGAAACAGCCGGGTTTCGATATGCTGTGTTGTACGGGGCACTACTGGAGGCAGCGCGAGGTATGATTTTAACATCATCACGAAAATAAATACACAGAGGAGTGAAATCATTTTACCGTACTATAAATAGAAAAAAAATATTGAGTGAAATAGAAATAAGAGTGAGGTGCAAATGATTTCTGTCTATTTTTATAGAAATCATGCAATGGGTTTTTTACGGAAAATATGTAAATGGAAGTTTTAAGAGCAAATCCAAGGCTTTTCGTAACTTTCCGCAAATATACTTAGTCAACAAACCAATCAAACAAAGGTCGTTCGGTTCCCACTGGGCCATGTAAATTTGCTAGTGTTGTACATAGTGTTTTCAATACACTATAATTTCCATTCCCGTCATCGAATCGAGAACAAAAACCTTATTTTTTTGTCTATTTATCGGTATGTTATTGCATACAATCGTGGAATCGAAGCTTTATCAAATGTCATACATTGAACTATCTGTATACCTCAAGATAACCAGAAGATGTGAACAACAAAATACTTATCATGAAACTTCATTCATATTTGTTGGGAGTAATCGTAGTAAAATGTTAAACTTTATTCCAACACACAATTTACAGGGATCAAATTTTCAGCGACCATACTGTCGCCTTCATTGATGATTTTACAACAAAATACTTACCTCTAGGAGAAATAAAACAGTGAGAGGAAATGTTTCAAGTGGTAGAACAAAGACGGAAACGTTCTAACTTGTTCTCTCAAACGACAACAATTGATAAAAATTGCGGAATCATGTCGCCATTCTAATTAGACCTGCGTATTGTTGTAGGACGAGTGGTTGTCGTGATCGGCGGAGATGACAGGTACAAGGACGGGGAGCATGACAACAGCGTCCTGTCCACCTGGGCCTACAACAAGATCGCCGCACAGTTTGACGACTCGTACCTGGACGGCAGGCGGGGCTTCGTTTTCTCCTGGGACGAGCGGCACAACCCGGTTCACGAGGAGGCTCTCGGACGGTACCTTGTGGCCATCTCGTCAGGACAACGTGGCCTAGAGGAGCCCTTTAAGCCAAGCCCGACTTCAAGTCTATTGCCATTGTTAGAGCCAGGCATGCCTTTGAGCACGTCCACTGACCTGACGGACAAAACACAAACCGGTCCTTCTACACCATACACTATGGATCACTTTAATGACCATGAAACTGGGCGAATCATGGAGAAGCTTGAGAAATGCAAGAATAACATTCAAGAAGACGACCCCGGCAGGAGAATAAGATTTGTAGCATACCGGGTGCACGGAAAACTAGTGCCAGGATTCGGAACATTCTTTGGTGATTTTCCAGATGACCTCCCGAAATATATGATACCTGAAATCTTAGGTAAGCCAGGCGACACATGGATGGCTTGTGTTATTGTTTATGAGGAAGAGCAAGATAATACCTTATGTCTGAGGGTTTTTGACTTAAATGAAAATGAAGGGATATGGCTTGTTAGCGCCAGGGAAACACTTAGAAGAATTTGTAATGCTCACGGAAAAGTTTATAATCTGCTTACAAGGAAATAGATTGGCATTTAATGAAATAATTTCCTGTCGTATTTTACTTCTTACTGTTGCATCGTTGTAACGTATATGTGGAGCCCAGCATCAGTTGGATTTGCTGCCTAGTGCTCCAAGTGTTTTGCTGTTGCAATTTGAATGCACGAACAATACGTTTCCTAAACTCAAATAAAATTGATGGCTATGGAATACCTTTTGTGTGCGTTTTGATCTTTTATGTGAAACTAAGGCCATGTTATTTATTTCTGTTTTATTTAAGCAGGGTATAAACTTCAGTGCCATTCAAAACCACTGCTTATCAGGAATGCCCTGTAACAACAAGTGAGACATGAAAACAATGAAATCGACACATTAACAATATATAACGTTAGAAAAAAAATCAAGCGTCACAACAAAATTTTTTACCGTAAATCAATGTCGTTAAGCCAGGCCAAGGTCAGGAGGTCAGAGGTCAGCAGTGTTGTTTCAGAACCTTCTTAAACGATAGGTTAGACGTGGCCACTCTAAATGTGGCCGTTCCAGGCAAATGTTATCCGATACGCAAACTTTCTTCGGCCAGATTCTAATCGGACTTTAGGAAGTTTTAAAAAAAATTAATTATGCCTATTTTTGTAGTGATGTTCTACAAAACATTTGTTGATTTGATTATATGGATGACAACCCCCCACGCATCAATTTTCAGTATGGCGGGTTCGCCCATGGTTGATGTGCAGACCCGTGTATGGTCACTACGACTCACTGATGATGGAGCTAAATCAAGAACATCATTGCGACCTTAAGTCGTTCCTGTGAATACCCTCTATATCCACCGTCTTCTGAACAGATCAGCACACGTGACGTTATTATCTTGGACGGCAGGACCTAGTGGCTAGGTTACGGCTTGGTCCGGTGAGGTTACGGCTTTCCCGCCGGGGCCCGGGGTGATTTTAAGTTTGAGTTAAAATCAATTCGACGACCGCACGGGGTCAAAAATAGTCCGGCAGCCGTCGGGAACCCCGCCAGTCTTCCTCCTACGTCCCTTATGGCAGTGCCAAAAAACATACTGCAAACGCGCCGAGCGGTCCCCTTTTCTAATTGTGACCTAGGCATTACATGTCGTGTGACATGGCGGTCAATTTCTAGTGTAAAATTTCCATTTCTACGGAAGGGTATCGGGCATCACATTTTTTAAAAACAATGATAAACCGTTTCACGGGGACTTCCTTGTCCAAATGTGATAAAATTCGCACTGCATATACCTCAAATGTTGTTTTTATTACAATGCTTAAATGTGTGTGAAATCACTCTCAACGCGTCGGATACTTATTCTACAACAATCGACGTCAATCGACGTCAATAACCAAAGAACTGATTTAAACCGACCCTAAATCTTCCAGAAAATCTTTGCACTTTCCTACACACGAAATTGTTCGGATGTCCTCAATATGTCTTCAAGGAAGCATTATTGGTTAATATTATGCAGTTTGCCAAGTAACCTCCACCTCAGGAATTATTTAATCAGGTTTTCAGAGGTTTGACAATTTGACAATCGTATGAGGTCAAAGGTGAACCCTATGCTCATGCCTGCAGACAACATCCTATTTTTGCATAAATTATAATAATGAGCTGGAATTTTTCAACATTTAATCATGCCAAAATAAACGTCTTAATATGTTTAACCAATATATGTGCAAGTGTCGCTGAAAGGATGCAAAATGGAATATAAATTCTAAAGAAACCAAATGGGGTCCAAATGGACCCCGTTCTGGCATTAACGTCTCAAAAAAGTTCGGGTGTTTGAGGGTTAAACACAAACACGAACACACATGTACACACACAAACACACACAAACACACATATAGCTACATACACATACACACAAACAACACACACTCACACACACACACACACACAGACAAGCATGCACACAAACACACACAGAAACACACGCAGACACATGCACAAATACACACACACAAACTCAAACACACACACAAACACAAATGCACACACACACACAAACTCACTCACACACAAACACTCACACAAAGACACACACACAAACTCAAACACACAAACAAACACAAATGCACACACACAAACGCACTCACACACAAACACTCACACAAAGATACACACACGCATATACCCATACACACACACACACACAATACACACACAAACAAACACACAAACACACCTGTACACGCACACACACACAAACACAAACACTCACACAAAGACACACACACACACACACACATATACACACACATACTCACAGAGTACACACACACACACAAACAAAAACAAACACACACACAGCACACACAAACACACACAAACACACACACACACACACACACATGCACACATGATTTGTAAAGAAGATAATTGCAGACTCACCATGTCGCAATTGTAATAAAGCCTGGGCATTGTTGTAGATAGTAAAAATTATGACAATTGACAAAATATCCAAAAAAAATGACATCAACATCTTATGTCTCATCCTGTTTTCTTTTTTTTGTGATTGCGAAAATAAATTTAAAAAAAAATTGCGAATGATATAGATTGCTTGAGAACGGGGTAGAAAGGAAGCAAACTGAAGGCAGCTGATCTAACAGAAAGTTATATAAGGCTAACTACATTTTCTATATACTGAAAAAGCTTTTGTCAATTCCAAGATATTCTGCAGGCCACAGTAATGCAATATGTCTTAGAAAGATGCATTTAGCAAGACCTATATTTACATGTATACTTTTTTAAAAACTCATTTATATATGGCAAGGGAAAACTAGATTGATTATTATAAATACCAAACTCATAAAACTTATAATATAACTGTTGACATTTAGTCCAAAAATTGTTTCGGGGTAAGCTGAAAGCTGCTATAAAATATCCAAAAATGCTAATTCGATACGTTTTTAAATCACTATTATTTATTGTGTCATTCATATACATCTATGCCAAAATAAATATACACCTTTTAATCTATAAAGTTTGAACATGATAAAACTGTGCTGTGTTGACAAAAAGGGGAGTCGTTAACCAAATGACATGATATAGATTTGTTTGTGGTATATTTTTCTACCTGTTAACATTATAATGATGTCACAAATGTCTGAGACAGACACACTATGGTCTGAGATGGTTAAGACCTAACCTTACACGAGTAAATGGCAAAACATGAACGATAATGACATATTTTAAAGCCCTCTTTACTTATACTATGTCAGTGACGGATGGTCACCTCTGACCTAACCTTTAGCAAGTCTGCGTCTGAGAGTGATTACAAACATGGCGACAGGGCTAGAGAAACAACTCAAGGAAGAATTCCTTGTCTGTCAAATCTGTTTCAAAGAATATGGAGAACCAAAAACCCTTCCTTGTCAGCATACCTTCTGCAAGGAATGCTTGGAAAAAATGGTGCTTGCATCGGGAAAGTTTACCTGCCCTTACCGTTGTCAGGAATATCAACTTCCCCAAAATGGTGTGGAAGGGCTTCCTACTAACATTTTCGTCAACAGGTTACGTGATGTACTTAGGCCTTGTGTGGAAATAGGTCCTAACACCACACCTTGCTCAGCACCTCCTGATGATTGTGATTGCACATGCGAAAACAGGTCGACGACAACCTCCTACTGCCTTGACTGTAGGGAGGACCTATGCCCGGTGTGTTCGATCACACACCGCCGACCGACGGCAAACCGTGGGCATAAGGTAGTATCCAATGACGACGCGTCTGAACAGACCAGGTTTAATGCAGATGGACCTTCTGGAGGAATCACCCACTCAAAGCAGTCACCAGTAAGAGGTATACACCATTACAAGGAAATTTCTTTCAATCGTTTATTTGATTTAATTTTATCCACACTTTTGACAAAATCGGCTTACCAAACTGAAGGCCATATTTTATATCTATTGTACAGTATTTGCACACTTTTATGGTTGAAATCGCATCCTACACTGTCAGGCCGATTACAATACTAGGTGTGGGGCATTTACGTGAATTTCTAAAGGAAAAACATTAAAATCTTAGTCCAACATTGTTTAATTTATTCATTAGTGATTTACCATTAGAATTTGACCATTCCTCTTGTAATCCTCCTACTCTACATAGTTTGACAGTACCTTGTCTACTATATGCTGACGATTTAATAATATTCTCAGAGTCACAAAGTGGTTTACAATCCTTACTGTCCAGGTTAGAAGAATACTGTAAGTCTTGGAAATTGAAAGTTAATCTTAAGAAGACAAAAATTATTGTATTCTCAAAGGGAGGTCGTTTACCAAAAGACTGTTCCTTTTTGTTTGACAATAATACAGTAGAAATAGTATCATCTTATTGTTATTTAGGCATCATTGTTAACTCAGCTGGTACATTCAAGGCCAACCACAAATACCTCTATAGTAAGGGGCTGAAAGCTTTGTTTGGAGTTAGACAATCCATTGACAAAGCCGATGCCCCATTGTCCGTCAAAAACAAGCTTTTCGACTCTTGTGTGAAACCTATCTTGCTTTATGGATCAGAAATTTGGGGGTCATTCAAAACTTCAAACTCTTGTCCAATCGAATCTGTTCATTTAAAATCCTGCAAACAATCTCTCAACGTACCTAAAACAGCTTGTAATCTTGCAGCACGGGCTGAATTAGGGAGGTACCCTTTGCATTTAGAGGCTTCCCTTAACGCCATAAAACATTTTATCAGAATATGCCTAAATGTGCGAACTGGGAGTCTCAATGCCGACGCACTCTTATGTCAGTTAGAATTAGATAGATTAGGTAGTAAATGTT